AGAGGTGTTCGGAGGAGGTGTGAAGGCAGTCCTCCATTGTACAAGATCAACAGTGCCTTACCGCTGGGACCTCAGCTGAAGAGAGTTCAGATCACAGGGTCCCAGCACTCACAGTCGCATGTTGTCAAGCTCATGCTTGCTGCTCACCTGTAAACAGAGAGCAAAACCCCACTCTTCAGCACTCCCAAAGCAAGATGACGTTTGCACAAGCAAGTCAAACATTTGTAAGCACAGCTAAACCCATTTCATTCGTATCTCATTCACTCCCAAACATGTTTCTCAAAACAGTGCTTGCTTTTTAGCAGCTTTGTTCCTCATTCTGCCCGCAAAAAATGCGCCTTTAAACCCAAGGGAAGGAATATCATTGCAATACACAACTAAAATAAGACAAAATGGCTTTTTAAACAAGGCAGTATCAGTGGCAATATGATTTAAAGCTTAAATCTGTGACAAAATGCAAACACAGCCCAAAAGATGGTGACTGTGTCTTCATACTTAAGAAATGAAAATTAAATATATACTTAAATAAATACAATTCATCTTGAACACCAGGGCAAAAACCAAGCACCCACTCCTTCTGGACCTAATAAAACTTTATTATATTTTACATCATTTATGCACATTTTTCAAATGTATCAAATATCTCCTCTTCAACTGAATTTGAGAGGCACCAAAATGAGGGAGAGAAATTTTAGCTTTCCATATAAGGAAAAAACAAGCAAGTTCACCTTTCGCTGTGCAACACTGATAGTCATCAGTTCTCCAAAGGCTTAAGACAAGCTTCAGAGACCCACAAGGTTTAAGTCGTAACCTTTCTTAAGAAATGAGAGTTAACTTTTTGCTTTTTATCATATTGTCTATTTTCCCAGATCTAAATAATCATTCTGTTCAAGAAAAACACTTGCTATTTTCATTAGAACTATTTAGAAATTTGCAGCACAAGGCATGGACCTCTGAGGCCAAGGCCATGAATGCTACGATATTTCAGGTCAAACATAAAAATACAAAGCCTGTGGCATGCTCATCTTTTCCTGCCAGAAACTGCTTCCTGCCCACATGGTACAGATACTTTCTGGGCAAGGTCTCATCTCACACAAGACTTCAAGCCCTCAACTTCCCAGGACTTCATCACTAAGACCTTCTAGGAGACCTTGCAGTAGTTTCTCTGATCCGCATTTCTTTTATCACCATACAAAATACAACGAAACATGGTAGCTGGGCAGTGCTATTAAGGCCCATGGGTGCCTTCAGGACCCTGACAAAAAATTAAGGTTGCAGTGGGAATGCTCAGTTTGTGTTTGTCTGTTGGCCTCTCATATCACATATGTTACTGTAGGAGGTTTTTCACATGAACACTTGCTGTTAATAATTATTTTTAAAATTTTATTTTGCTTATAATGCTCTGTATTCCCCATGCTTCCAGAATTAAGCTGCAGCCAATGCCCATATTCCTGTTATCCAGGCATTTTATTAATTAACTACTACAATAACAATGTGAGGTTTTTTTACCACAACCAAATGAGATGTAGTTAGTCAAATGTCTGTACAATCCTAGAGTAATGATCACATTGAGAAAGACAGCACAAGCCAGTTTTCATACAGATACCGCTACTGGGATACTGGACCTTCCAGCAGTCCATTTCTGAGGTGGGAAATTATTATCCCCTACTGTAAAGATCCTCAAGGATCATGGCTGAAATAGATTAAAGTCAACTGTGAAGCTCTAGCTGACTTCAACAGGTCCAGCATACTCAGACTCCCGAGGTCTGTAAGAAAGTCAGCACTTCACAGATAGACCCCAACACATAGCCCTCGCCCAGGGCCCTCCCCATCATTAGTACAGAACTGGACAGTCTCTCTTTACGCTATTCTCTTACTTTTAAAAATGAAGGTTATCTGAGTTGCTGGAGAAGATCAGTAATAAAAGAGCTCAAACAACACAAAATTTCACAGTTGCTGGTCACAGGCTGGGCTGAGAATGTTTTGAGGTTATTGTTCAGCTAAATTAATAGAGAGTAAATGTACTTTGATATTCATCTAACAATATCCATGTTTCCTATCTCACCAGCTGTTATCTGCTGGAGGTAATTTTTTCAAACAAGGGATCACATCTCAATACAATTTCAATTTGGTAAATATATATTTTAAATTATGAATCACCTAAGTGGAACCTTTTTCATTAAAGTAATCAAGGGATATCAGATAAAATGTAGATTTAGACTAGATATTAGGAAGAGATTCTTCACTGCGAGGGTGGTGAGACACTGGCACAGGTTGCCCAGGGAAGTTGTGGATGCCCCCTCCCTGGAAGTGTTCAAGGCCAGGCTGGACAGGGCTTTGAGCAACCTGGTCTGGTGGGAGGTGTCCCTGCCCATGGCAGGGGTTGGACTGGATGAGCTTTAAGGTCCCTTCCAACCCAAACTATTTGATGAGTCTATGATTCTATGATAGCAAAGTCTGAGCGTCTCTCTTTGTATACATCTGATGACAGAGATATATACATGTATATCTTCGGTGACTTTCTTAGCCAGATAAAAGTAACTGGGAACTTCTGCTTATTTCTGCACGCTCATTGGAGGCTCTCTGTAACCTTCTCCCTCCTGTGCTTTGTGAACATGACACACAAGACTTGGAGCTCCCGTTGTTCTCATCTCCCTTCTATTTTCATATATGCAGAAAAGCCCTTTACATTCTTCCCAGCTGAAATGCAGCATTCTTGTCAATGTTATACCTCATTTTGTTCCCTGTCGTCTTCTACACATGCATTTTTAGAAGCCAAATGAACTGCAACATGGCTTGAAAAGACAGCTACACAGTGGCTAACTGCCCCTGGACAATGCTTTCCCTAAAATCAACACAAATTGCTACCTGCCTGCTCATTAGCTCTTTAAAGTCACCTGTCAGCTAGCTGCAGATAACCATGCTTGCTCTGTGCTGAGGGAGGTGAGGAGGCTATTTCAATGGTTTTCCAGCCTGAGTATCCCTGCCCACCCACTCTCATTCACCAGGCAAAGGGTGGCCTGTGCAACCAAAAACTGGTAATAGAATGGACAAATGCTGCCTGTGACTCCCCCCATGAGGCTTGCCATGGGTCTTTACTCCCCACACAGGCAGTATGCCTCACTAGTGGGGTCAAGAATGAAGCCAGCATGGGAATTTCTAAATGCTTTGAAAACTAGGTGTTTTCCCAGCATCTCTGAAATTAAGCACAACATGGAGGGAAGTGCTGGATAATGGATGAACAGGAAGAAGCACCTCAATAGGAAACAGTAAAAACAGTGTAGGATTTAGGCTTGGTTTTGCAGTAGCTCAAACCAGGTGCATGCACAGAGAACTGCTACAATAACTCAAACTCAGCTTCTGTTAATGCCCATATGAAACCCCAGCAATGGTACAGATCTCACAGCATTACCTGCAACACAAAGTTCCTTGCTTGACCAATGCCTCTGTGCAGTATAATAAATGCAGTAGGTCTCCACCTTGGAAGTCTTTTAGGCACTGGAGAAGGCTTCCCTTCTCAAACATAAAGTTTTTAAACATCTGAAAGTTATTTGTTATATTTGGTTATTTGTTTTAAGCCTTTTAAAGATACACTGACAATCCTGTTGCAGGTCAAACCCCCCAGGGCGTCCACATTTCTGTGGATAGGTGTATTTGAAAATATGGACTTACAATGCACCCCACCAGACAAGAAACACCAAAAGACGGGAGGAGTAACACCATACTCACACAAGGCAAACAGGACAATCTGGAAAATGAGCAGGGGAAAGGAGGGAGAGCTATAGTCAAGGCTATAGTCAGAAGCTACACCAGTGCAAACCCATGGGAAAGCATGGAGCTGTTCAGTTGCACAACCAGGGATCTATCTTGGGAAGACAGGAAGCCCACTTTGTCTGAAGAACCATCTTCCTCATGGGGAAATGAGATCAGGTCAACTGCCACAGCCCAGATTGTTTGTGCAGAGCTGGAAATCCAAAGACATCAGTTATGCAGAAGCACTGTGTCTACCTACCTGGTTTTCTGAAGAGGGACTTTACTCAGTCAGACAGCATGCTGCTGGCTGATGGTCTGCTTTTGTTTGCTGAATCACATTTTAAAGATTATATAAAAGTATGTTCTTAGTTCAGACTGGCAAGATTTTATTAGATGACGAAGAGGTTTCACCCTGAGCCGGGAAAACTCCAGGGGAGCACAGGCAGTCACCCTACACTGCCACAGAAGGAGTCCTTGGGAGCGCCAGTGCCCAGGGTATGGTGTGGCACTTTGCACAGGAAGGTGCCTCTTCAAAGGAGGGGCATTCCAATGACCAAGGAGAGATCTGCAGTACTCATAACCCAGCAGTTAGGCACTGTTCTGTGACCACCTGCACAAGTCAAAGGCACTCAGCCTACCTGAACCTCAAGGCAGAACAATTGGCACTCATCTTAGACCAAAGGCTGCACCTCTGGCTGTGGGGGTCTGCACCATCAACCTCAACAGTGCCTCGACCCAGACAGAGCTGCTGAAGGGAGAGGCTTCACTAAGGGCAAATCATGCCTGACAAGTATGGTGGCCTTCTATGACAGGGTTACAGTGTTGGTGGATAAGGGAAGAGCAAGTGACATCATGTACCTGGACTTGTTGAAAGCATCTGACACTGTCCTGGATAGCATCCTTGTCTCTGAATTAGAGGATGGGTAAGAAATTGGCTGGATGGTCACACTGAAAAGAGTTGCAGTCAACCACTCAATGTCCAAGTGGTGACCAGTGACAAGTGGCCTCCCTCATGGGTCAATATTGGGACCAGCACTGTTTAACTTCTTTGTCAGTGGCATGAACAGTGGTACTGAGAGGATCCTCAGAAAGTATGCCTATAACACCAAGCTGTGTGGTGCTCTTGGCACCCTGGAAGGAAGGGATGCCATCCAGAGGACCTGGACAGGCTGGAGTGATGAGTCTATGCCAACCTCATAAAGCTCAACAAGGCCAAGCACGAGGTCCTGCACATGGGTTGGGGCAATCCCAAGCACAAATACAGGCTGGGTGGAGAATGGATTTAAAGCAGCCCTGAGGAGAAGGACCTGGGGGTGTTGGTTGATGAAAAACTCAACAGGAGCTGACAATGTGCATCTGCAGCCCAG